GGTAGACCTGTGCTTGTTTTGTAGCTAGATCATGCTTGCTCTGCTAAGCTATAATTCAATTCATATCATTAAATTGAACCAACAGATTACTGTCTCTCTTTTAAGCTTCTGAATTTTATCTCTCCAGCTTAGTATTTTTTTTTTGTCAAGCACACTAATCAATAACATCTCTATTAAAAATATAAGCCCATATGATTGAAGAATACACCATTCTAGAAAGATATATTTGTTATCTTGTGAACATCCTGCTAATATCCTCTCATCACCCCAGATTTCATTCTGGAAAATGAACCAAAATAGGTTGTAGGAAAAGACTCAGGTTGTAGGAAAAGATTGAGGCTGAAAAATATTTCTGATTTATCACCCTATCATTTAAGCAGTATGATTACAGGCAATGTGACATGTGGTATCCCTATAGTCTTATCACGTGGACACGGATAGGCAAGCTATATACAAACAAGGACACAGGTGACCTAGGTGGAACAAAGATCATGAAACTGACCTGGTCCATCGGGTTAGAACTGTACCTGAAGGTTCTCTTGTCCCCAAGTCTTGCCCCTCCTCACCTTCCTCTTTCACATGTGATATTCTTTTTTTTTTTTAAAAAAAAAAAAAGATTTATTTATTTATTTATTTATATAAGCACTGGGTACAGTCAGAAGCATGGGAGGGTGAGAAGATTCACCAGAGCCAGAGCGGGGAAGAGAACAGGCAGACTGATGAAATACACTGCTGAGGGGAGCAGTGGGCATGGCAGGAGAGGTCTGTTGCACCAAGTGGGACCCTCGCTGGTGGATGGGGATCGAACCGGTGCTGCAGAGGCTGCAGGCAGCGTCGCAGCCCAGTGCTCAACCGCTGTGCCACCAGGGGAGGCCCTCACACGTGATATTCTAAAATTCTTTGGATTGTCATGAATGTTTACTCTTCAAGCATAGGTCATGGAAATGTAAATAACTCTTGCAGAAAATCATCTTAATCTCCAATTAGTTATTAACAAATTAATGCAAAGTCTGGAGTGAATTCCTAGAGAATGCAATTAAGAATTGTGAATTAAGATGCACAGAGATCAAAAACAAAGAAAAGGGTGGGGGTGCATATGCTGGGGTGGAGGGGAGGATGTGTGATAGTGTGTGATGGGATAATGGGAAAGGGTATTGCCTGCAAAACAGTGAAGTGAAGAGTACCAGGGAACTGAGGAAAGGTTATCAGAAAAAAAGATAAGGAAGCATGGGGAAGTGTCAAAATAGGACCATTAGGGGGAGAACTCAACTCTAATATTGTTAATTCAGGAATGAGCAAACTAGGTCCCACTATGGGACCTAGGCCAAATTTACCCCAATGTCTGTATAACCATTATCTAAGAATATTTACATTTTTAATGGAGGGAGTAAAAAATGCACAAAGATTTGTGCAGTTTCAAAGAAACCATTTGGTTCTATAAAGTATAAACTATTTACTCTCTGACCCCTTATACAATATAGTTTGCTACCCCTGGTTTAATTCATAACCTAAAAGCTTCACACCTGCAAACGTTGTTTAGAAAAACTCCTACCATTACAACCTTAAGCAGTTTAGTGATAATTTAGTTTTTCTTGAGCATGTGACTTGGTGAACTTCACCCTACCCACCCCACCCCCAGCCATATTGCTTATGAGAACCTGGAGCACCAACCCTGAGAGAAATTGAATACTATTTTCTCCAAATATTTCTATCTCTTCTGACATGTGGAGTCCTGACATAAACAGCTACCAATTCTCCTGCCTGGTGGATCCACCATTTGATTTAATTAGAACAGAATGAATTCGGGGGCTTTAATACTTTTTTAAATATGTTTTTTGGTTTTTCTTCAACCTTGGAGTTGAACACCTGAACAGGCACGGCAATTGGAAGGATGGCCAAGGTTGGAAGTGCTGACCTGGAGACTGATGCAGATATGACATAGAAAGAGAAACTAGACTAGAAAGAGATGCCATAGAGAGGGCAGGGTGACTAGAAAGACATGAGGTTTTGCTATTGGCTCTGGTAAAGAAACAATAATAAATCATTTTAATAGTACAGACACAGATTTTTCACTAATTGTGTTGATCCTATATATGCACTGTTCAAACCTATTTTGAATTTGTATTTTGCCCATTTCAGTCGTCCAAGTAACAGACACAGGACACAGGCAACAGATACTAACTTTCTTAATGAACAAATGTCAAAATTTCCCAGCATGGCTTTACTGTTTAGACTCCAGTTTAGACATTGTTTTCAGTTTACCACTTCCAGTGACTTTTTTCTGCATGTACAATTTTTCTTGGTAGCCTGTTTAATACTCTTACTTTTTATGGGCTTTGAAACCAGCCTTAGCCTTAGGAGTTGCTTCCTAATAATTAGCTTAGTGGCTAGAGTCTTGCTAGTCTTTTAAATATATAGAAGGGACACTGCTACTATACAAGAAGCAACTGTAGCTCTAAAATGCTAACTTGAAACATAACCACCCCATCATCCCTAGGATAGCCATTTACAATCTTTTATGATCTGATATTTGACATACTTCTCATCATTTACATTACTCTGAACTTCCTCTAAGTTAGATTGTGGTCTCCAGCCCCTAGATTTCGTCTCAATAACACAATTGGCTCGACAATATGATTGGGTGTCACTGATGACCAGAACAGCAGGGGGATGGGGAGAGACACACAAAGTGCTCAGATTACTGCTATTTACCAATCAGTATAAAAATGTTTCAATTTTCACTACCAGTAAGGCCACATCTTGGCAGTTACACAGTAAATCAGTTAGGATTCTAACTTAGATCTTAATTCCCTGGGGGGGAAATATGTGGCTTCGTAAATATTACTAGAAGTTATGTTACTGTCTTTAATTATGATCTCAACCTTTCAAAAAATGATTTTCCTTTCTTGAACTTCTAGCTTCATCAATAACTTCTCATGTTAAAAAAAAATAACTTCTCATGTTGTAACTGATCACAGAACACAATAATGAATTTACTTTTATATTTATTTATTTTATAGATTCCAAAATAAGACATACTTCAGATACCTAGTTGTTTTTTATATATCCAAAAACTATATTAATGGAAATACACTGTTCTATTAGAGTAACATTATTTTCAGTCTATTTCAACAAATTTTGGAATCACTGCACATAGTTACTAAGATAATGATTAAGCTGCAAGAAACCCATTCTCAGAGGATGCTTTATGAGGAAACCATGTATCTGTTCATCATTTTCTAGTTTGTCAATGAATATCTTTTAAAATTTTTTTCTGACATACATGATTAATTATAATAATAGTCTGCTTTCCCTCTGGAATGTTAAAACATAATCACTGGCTTATGTAACATGGTACCTTGCTTGTAAATTTGTGAAAGGGGCTCCGTTTGATGACAGTTCTAATGTCTACCATCTGTTTGCATGGGATGAAGCCCTGGTGCTTTCCTAATTGGCCATAAATTAGGTACTAGCAACAGACTCTTGACAAGATCCCTCAGTTACATTTTTTTTTTCTTTTTAAGCTTTAAATTCAACATTTGGTGGGAAGCCCAACTTTTCTCATGAAAGTACTGACACTGACTACAGCTGCCTCCTCTACATTTATTATCTAGGCTCTCTCACAGTATCCTCTCTGTATTTATTCCTGAAGATAAACAAGTTGGTTAGAGAAAAAAAATTTAAGAGAAGGGCACATTTATTGAGTGCTTACTACACAACTGTGCTGACTGTGATCCTTTATATTGTTAGATTGCTTGACGTTCAAACCAGTTTTACAATTTGAGTAATATCCCATTTTGCAGATAGGGAAAGTGTGACTTAAATTTTAAGGAATTTGCTCATATTCTTATATCATGCTGCAATCAAGATGCAAGAACTGAGCATTATCTGATAAAGCCTATATCCTCCCATTTCACTAAGTTTGAAAAAAAAAGAGAAATTTAGAACAAAGAACAAAGTATGTGTGTTTGATGTTAATTGATGCTTCTTCATCTCTCAGGGCCTCAGTAAACTAAATGAAGTAGTTGAACAAGATAAAGCCACAAATTCCCAATCATCTCATTTCTTTGATTAGGTTAATGTAGGTTTTATCTTTTACCAACAAACCTATCAAGTTAAATGTCTATCAGTTTCACTCTCCTCTTTAGTGGAATGACCTATTTCCCTTCCAGGCAGTTTGCCATCATTCTGGATGGTCATATCTGCCCTATTAGTTTCATTCCACACTGACACTCACAGACTACTGTAGCTCCAATGATGTTTCTAAAGTGAATTTTTACATTCTTCTCCTGGATCACACACTTGATTTTTCTGATAAAATTATCCATAAACACTGCAATGAGAAAAAATATGGTGGAAAGTGTCCATAAACTACATATTTATTTTAAATTTGCTCTTGGAGACTCACTAATCTGGTATTTGCAGTTTAACCTATAAAGTTTCAGGAAATGAGAATAGTAAGCCGTAAAGACGAGAAGGATTAGGGTTAGTCATCACTAAAGAAACCTACAATGGCCCAAAATATTTGCTTATGTCCATGTCTCATGCATTCTCCAAAAGTGCCCTCCTTACATGAATATTCTATGTAGAAGTCTGAAGGTTGAAGAATAGAGGAAATAACTAAAACATAATCAAGAAATAATCCATTTCCTTTTTTTTATCACTATCACCCTGAGCATACCTCCGGAGTTAAAAAAAATAAATAAATCTTGGTAATGTGCTTTTCTCAAAGGTGTCATTAATCCTCATTAATCCTCATATAGCCCTACAATTTTATATTATCCTTCAATTACAAATGAGCAAACTGAGGTGAAGGTCATCATGGTTAAATACCTTGCTGAAGATTGCAAAGCTAGAATGGCAGAGTCAACCACTATCAAGAACAATAAAGAATACGAATCAAGTATAGAATTCACTTCATGCAATGGTGTCTAATTCCAGAAACTTATGCCTGTCATTGACTGAAGTGTGCAATATGCATAATGAAACAATGGACTTACTCTCGGTCGATCACAAGGCAGGTTACAGCTTCTGCAGCAATTACGTTTGCTGTCCTCACATCCTCCCTATATGAAAAAGAGACAGTGAAGCAAAATAACCTTTAATATCAAAGGAAATTGTTTATTGTGATGAATTCAGGAAACAGTATACTCTTCTGGGTAATCCAAGTTTAAGCTTTGTTCGTGTTTCAAATTTCTTTGGCTTTTCAAATTTCTTTGGCTTTTATAGTTATTAATCCTATAAATCCTACAGTTGTAACCCAATAGTTTTAATTTTCAAAGTTTCACCTACACAAGTGAAACAAAATTATATATCATCATTCCCTGTACTCTTTGGGGAATTAATGGATTTATCAGATAATGATAAAGATAGTAATGAATATAAAGAGATGGAAGGTTTTAAAAGAACTGAAGAAATAGTTATGGAACTTAAGCATCTAATCCATGGGTATATTAATTTATCATTATAACTTTGAGAACAATGGATCTGTTTTAATTATTTTCTTACTTTAGAGACCCTGTTTTTATGTGGTTAATCTTTTTGCAATTTATAACCTACAGTTATTCATCTATACTGGAGTTTATAGTTCAAGAGCTTTTGACAAACATTAGACACCAACTGAAATAAATACATATTGTCTCTTTAGAAGCATCTAATTTGTACAGGGATATCAGCCAAACTTATATCTTTAAACATCTGCCCTATCACCTCTTCATCTTATCCACTGCTCATGGGTAGAGTCAATAAATTAACATTCACAGTTTATTTTGAGCTTACAAAAATTTTAACAGTACCACAGCCACAGAAACACTAAAGTTTCTACATTATACCTTAAAAATCTACTCTTTCCCTAGTGCAGTAAAATTTCTATGCTAATGGAATGGTAAATATAAGTTTGAAATCCTTTATAATGATATGCACAGAGGAAAAATAGTGTTAATAATACATTTTTAAAATCATAATCAAAAAGCCATATGCCCCTACAATGTGCTTTTAAAATCTTAAGGATGTTCACAGATTTTTGTTTTAACACACTAACTTCTCACTTACATTTCAGAACTATTTTTTTCTATTAACTTGTCTTTTGCTGTTGCTCTATCATGCTGTTAAGATTACAAATTTTTGGAATATTACTCAGTGATCAAAAAAGATAAACTCATGCCATTTGTTGTAACATGGATGAAGCTAGAAGGGATTGTGCTAAGTGAAATAAACAAGAAAGAGAAAGACAAACACCGGATGGTGTCACTTACATGTAGAATATAAAGAAACCAAAGGTGAGAAAAAGATAAACATTGAAAAACCAACCATTGCCATTGAAAAGTTGGGTACAGAACTGAAGCACTTAGAGAGGGAGTGGGAGAGAGGTAATGGTAGGCTGGGGAGAACACAATGGACTATGGTGGAAGCGCATGGGTGCTTTGGTAGTAGGGGAGCTACAGTCACCAAAGCAGAGAGGAGAAATCCTGTACTGTCAAAATATAAACAAGGATGTAAAACAATGTTACTTCATTAAAAAAAATAAACTGGGCCTCCCCTGGTGGTGCAGTGGTTGAGCGCTGGGCTGTGAGGCTGCCGGCAGCCTCTGCAGCGCCGGTTTGTTCCCCAGCCGCCAGCGAGGGTCCCACAAAAAAATACTTAATTAATTAATTAATTAAAAAATATCAGCAATCTACTCCACCACAAAAGTCACAACAATTAATAAGTTTCACTAAAAATAAAAAAGGCATTAGCACTCTAGATTTTAAATTTGGAATGTCTTGATCCAGAAGAGAAACAGAAACAATGATTTTTTTAAATGAATTCGTTAATTGTCTGCTGCACATCTATCCCAAGTACAACTTTGTACTAGAAAACATAGGAGATGCAAAAAAACAGGATCATGGCAAAACATGAATTTAAGTCCTGTTGTATATAACCACAAGCTGTCACAAAATGCAGTATGTATGCTTTACTTTACATAATAAAAATAAGGTTGAAGTGAGGTGAAATGATTTATATTTTAATCTTCATAATAAAACTCACTGTTTCTAAGAAAAAAATTACAATTGCTCTATAGTCACTACTAGCATTTAGTATTTGATAAAGCAAATTTCCCCTTACTAAATTCTTTTGAAGAAGTATCTTGCTGATATCCTTAAACATTCATATTTATACAGACTTTAAACTCACTTTTTCATTCCAAGGGAATCCACATTGGGAGTCTAGTAGAATTGTACTACAGTCATTCATTTAAGATGAAGAACTTCCTGATGATATTAATTTTCCATTCAAGAATACAGCATGACTTTTCCCTTGTTCAGATCTAGTTTTATATCTTTAAATATCTTTTCTTAATTTTCTTCATTTGGGTGCTACCTTTTTTTTAAAAAAAGTATTCTTAGGTGTTTCGTTTTTTCAATTCCTTTTAAGTGGCATTCCTCTTCCACTTGTTTCTCACTGGATTTTGTTATTAAAGAAAAAAAAGTTCTTGATTTTTATGTATTTTTAATCTACTTCCATAACAAGTTCTTTTCTGATTCTAAAATTTTTATTAGTCTCAACTTCCAGTATAATTCTCTTAGTGCTTCCTCATATTCTCCCTTCCAGCCAAAGTGGCCTCCTTTTAGTGACTGAACAGAGCACCTCGCCCCTGTCATGAGTTCTTAATATTCTTTCCCCAAATCTAAGAAGTTCCTCTCCAACTACTTGCCTAGTGGCCCCTGGCTGCTACTTTAATGCCAGCCTAAGTGCCCCTTCTTCAGGGATGCCATCCTATTTATTTGTTCTCATGGCTCTCCACACATCTCTATCCAAGCAACCCAGTTTGTAATATATGCTTTCATTTGTGGGTCATTGGCTAATGATTCTATGTCCCTTCTATTAAACTACCTGAGGGGAGGGCCTGTTCTAGTTTTGCTTCCCTAAAGACTGGCTCACAGGAGAACATGCAGCGCTTACTGCAATGTGGTGCAGGAATGGCACAGGCACCAGTTTTGAGTCCTTGGATAATGTAGCCAAGTTCAGACTTTGGGGTAACACTATCTTGGTTTTCTAAGACCAACTACATGCTACATGAAAGTATCAGTTTCCACATCTGTAAGAATGGGAATATAAGAATGCCTTTCACTGTGTGCTATTAAATGAGACAAAGTCTATCCTAATGCCAGCACGTGGAGAGCCAGGTTCTGCTCTGTAATGCCACTAATTCTTCTCACCAACACTGAATCATCTGTTCTTGTCAAGGTGCAGCCTAGTGTGATGATTGTCTAGGAGTAGGAAATATATTGCAATTCCATTATCATTTTGGAGCAGGACTTTTTGGGGAAGTAGGCAGAAGACATCAGTAATGCCCATCAGGTCCTTTATAACTTGTGTGAATGAATTAAGAGATAGCTCGTGGAAGTTTAGGCCACTATAAATTGCTGCAAGTGTTTAAAAAAAAAAACAAAAACAGGGCCTCCCTGGGGGCTCAAGGTGTTAAGATGCAATCTATGAAGCTATCCACAGCCACTGCAGCACGAGTTTGACCCCCAGCCAAGGAACAACCCACATGGCGCAGCAGACCTCTCCTGACTTGCCTGCTGTTCCCCTCAGCAGTGTATTTCAGTCAATCTGCCTGTTCTGTTCCCCACTCTGTCACTGGTGAATCCCATCACCGCCCCCCAACACACACACACATACACCCCTGGCCTGTAACCCTGTTCTTGGATGTATGAATAAATAAATCTTAAAAAAAAAAAAACCAGGGGCCTCCCTGGTGGCACAAGGGGTTAAGATGCAACACTATGAAGCAATCCACAGCCACTGCAGCAAGAGTTCTATCCCCAGACAGGGAGGTGACCCACATGGCACAGCAGACATCTCCTAGCTTGCCCACTGCTCCTGTCAGCAGTGTATTGCAGTCAGTCTGCCTGTTCTGTTCCCCACTCTGTCTCTAGTGAATCCTCTCACCCTCCACACCTCTGGCCTGTACCCCAGTTCTTGTATGCATAAATAAATCTTTAAAAAAAAAATGACAAAAAACCCTTGCCCATCAATTGTATTCAACAAACTCATATTCTATCTACCTTTCCTTAAAATATATTTCCATCCAGACAATATAGAAATTGCACACAAAGCATTTAAAAATATATTTAGAAAACAATGCTTCATTGTGAATATATTTTCTGTGTATATAAATTTGCATCATAAGTTTCTGATGTTTTAAAATTTTATATTATCTGACCTAAGTTGTATAACTTTAAAAATGAATTCATTTGCTTTACAACAAAAAAGAAAATACATGCTTTTTTTTTTTTAAGATTTTATTTATACAAGAACCAGGATACAGGCCAGAGATACGGGAGGGTGAGAGGATTCACCAGAGACAGAGCAGGGAACAAAACAGGCAGAATGACCAAAACACACTGCTGAGGGGAGCAGCGGGCAAGACAGAGGTCCGTAGCACCATGTGGGCCGCTCCGTGGCCGTAGGGGATTGAACCAGAGAGGCTCACAGCACTGCCCTCAACTGCCTGCGCCACCAAGGAGGCCCTACATATATACTTTTTAATGTAGGTGGGGAGAAAAATCAAAGATAGGATCACTGACAACGTCAATTGAAATTGAAAATATTATATTTTAGAAAGGAAATTTATAACTGTGGCCTATAATTAGACTTAGCACCCACAATCAGACTTAGCACCTATAATCAGACATAGAACCTTAGTAACACATATCAAAACAGAAAAGTTGAATAATGTGGGGGGAAAACAACATAAGAATAGATTATAGTATTTGCTATGTACTGAGCATCTGTTCTGTATCAGGAACTTTATTAAGCAATTCACACATTCAATATATAATATAGGGGGTGGGCATTTTATCCCAAATTTATACATGGGGATAGAGGCTAGGTAAAATACCCAAAGTCAGATATAACTAGTGAGTCAGCCCTGAAATTTGAACACAGATCTAGTTGGACCCTAAGCTTATGTTCTTTCCACAACGTTCTATGGTTTATACACTCTGCTCTCAGATTTTAACAACCATTCTAAATTCATTCTGAAGATATACAACTTCTGAGAAGTTGTTATAATGTTTCT